ACCCTCACCAGGGTATAGGCCACGAACAAATACTTTCCACCTTTCCCTGTCCTGGGCGTGTCGCTTGATGTCACGTCCATGTCTGCCCACTATTTTGTACTTCCTTTTCCGTGACTGTTCTCCAGGTTCCACGTGGTCTTCCTGTTTATCTTTTACCCTGTGGGTTCCAATCTAATACTTTTCTTGTTATGCAGCTGCTTGACCTCCTGAAAGTGCGTCCAATCCATCGCCAACGCCTTCTTCCTACCTCATCTCTGACTGGGCTTTGTTTCATTCTTAATAATAATAATAGATAGCATTTGTATAGCGCATATCCCCGCTCAACAGCAGGCTCTATGCGCTTTACACTATATTATTACCCCAGCAGACCATAGAACACTCCAAAACATTCTCAGCTTCCTGGGAAGCTTAATACTTTTTCGTTGGTGACCCTGTGTGTCCCTTTGATCCTCAGTAGCTTCCTCAGACACTTGTTCAAGAAAACCTGGATCCTTTTTATGCACATCTGGAATGCGTTCCATGTCCAACATTCATACAACTGGACTGGCTTCACATTTGGCGAAGTGGGTGCACCTATTTGTTGAAGTGGTGCTAACCCGTTTGTCGAAGCGGTTAATAACATAATTTAATTTATTATTTGCCGAAGAGGTGCACTAACATATTATTCGGATTTTGTAAAGCGACTCATTGCCCAGCCCTAGCAGGACACTTGGGTGATTTCTGGGTCAAAGGTTATGTCGGTGAGACTCGTGTCTGTCCTGGGCTGGACGCGCTGCCCTGCTGTCTCTGGAGGGTGTTGACCCCTGTGACCTATATGACCTCTTTCACCCCTTCACTCTTCCTCGTACGTACAGGATAATACGTGGGTGGTTGGCGGGTGCTCTGGTGTGGTTTGCTCCTTCTTTCCAATGAATAAATATCCATTGTCCTTTTCTCTCCTTCTTTTTTGTGTTTGTTTCTCTCTTGTAACACCTCTAATCTTCGGCACTTATGTGACCTTATTGTGTTGCAAGTGCCGTAAAATTCTTACTAAAACTAAACGGGATAATACAGTCAAAATTGTCTAAGACAGCCGTGCAAGTGGTTGGACAGACAGCCAAGTAGGCAGATAGACTGTCAAATAGTCATATGTGAGGCATGCTGGAAAAATTATTTATTTCTCGCAATCCACAAAGTATGGAGATATTAGCCAAAAATCAACACCAGGTTCAAATTTGTAGATTTTCTAATGATGCCATGTTATTTTTCTTTAAGACAGTATGGCATGCCTTTTATTATTTCATACTTATAAATTGTAAAAAAACCCAAAAATTTCAACCATAAGCTTGGTGTATTTATTTCTATTGGGCACCAATCAAAGAAGTAACTCATTTTGTCAGCACGCTTCACGCATTGAGATAAAGAAAAAAAAATGGAGTATTCTTGCTTCTCTACCCACAAACAAACAAACCAACCGACCAGCATGCAAACAAATGAACAAACGAACGAACAAACTATCAAACGCCTTTGTCTGTTCCGTTCACAGACTGGCTTCGTGGGCATGCTGCTCATCGGCTTCATCTCCGTCCACTGTATGCACGTGCTGGTCAAGTGTAGCCACCTACTGTGTAGAAGGTGAGTGGTTTCTGTTGTTTTAAAGTATTTGATACTTGTGTGAACTTACCGTGTATCAGTAACCATGGCAATACATTGTAAATTTTTTTCTAAATAAGTGTTTGATGTTTAAAAAAACTAATCATGTATCAGTCACTAAAGCAACGTGTTGTAAATTGTTTCTGAAAAATGTTTGATGTTTTTTAAGCTAAGGGTGTATCAGTGAAAATGGCAACTTGCTGTAAATTGTTTGAGATAAGTGTTTGATAGTTTAAAATAACTAGATCTAGCTGAGTATCAGTAGCCATGGCAACTTGCTGTAAATTGTTTTAGACTGATGTTTGATACTTAAAAAAAACTAGCTGAGTATCAGTAACCATGGCAACGCTCTATAAAATATTAAAAATTGATGTTTGATATTTTGCTTGATATTGATATTTTGCTTGATATTGATATTTTGTTTGATATTTTGTTTGATATTTTGCTTGATATTGATATTTTGTTTGATATTTTGCTTGATATTGATATTTTGCTTGATATTTTGTGTGACCTGCTCCTTTCCAGGACCAGCAGTATGGCCCTGGACTACGCTGATGTCATGGAGGTCTGTCTCAAGACTGGACCCCCACGGCTCAGGAGGCTGTCCAGGTTTGCCAGGTGAGACGCTCGTCGATGATGATGATAATGTTGATAATAATAGTTATTATAATGATAGTGATAAATAATGATGATGATTATGATAATAATAATTATAATAATGATAACGATAATGGTAATAATAATAATAATAATAATAATGATAATAATAATAGTAGTAGTAGTAATAATATAATGATAATAATAGTATAATTAATAATATTAGTAATAATAATAATAATAATAATAATAATAATAATATTAATAATGATGAATATGATGACGATAATAATAAGAATAATGGTAATAATTGTAATAACAATAGACAGCATTTATATAGCGCTCTGTCCCATAGGAGTATTATAAGCTCTGAGCGCTCTACGTCAATCACATGATCACTGAGCGTAATGCTTCATTCACACTACAAGATAAAACATCAGGGCTGTCACTGTCAGTCTCTTTGTCTGTCCAGTTGTTTGTTTGTTTGTTTGTCTGCTCCTGTATTGTGTCCCAGAACTTAGTTTGTTTGGTGTGTGTGGGTGGTTGGAGAGTGCCACTGGTTGATATCCTATTTCTTTTCTTTCCCTCTGTTGTTTGTGTGGATGTTGTAACAACATAAATATCCTCCCTACGCTAAAAAGCATGGTTTTATGTTGATCTACTTCTCTTTACTCTTTCAAAGTGGGTGGTTGGTGGACACTCTGATGTGGTTTACTTCTTCTTTCCTATCAAACATTTGCCGACCTTATCTCTGTTCGTGGGTGGTTGGCGGGTGCTCTGGTGTGGTTTGCTCCTTCTTTCCTCTTAAACATCTATCGTCCTTATCTCTCCTCCTTCTTTTTTATGTTTGTTACTCTCTTGTAACACCTCTAAACTTCTGGCGCTCATATGACCATATGCAGTTGCGAGCGCCGTAAAACCTCTACTAAAACAAACAAACATATCTCTGTTCCTTCTTTTCTTTGTATGTTACTCTATTACCTCTACTCTTCGGCTCATATGTTATAGCCTATTTGTGTCGCAAGTGCCATAAATCTCGTACATGAACTAAAGTCTCCCTAAAAATAATTGGTCATATGCTAGATTGTGATGCAGATGACCCAAATTTGAATCCCAGACCAGATGTCAAGTGGGTGGATGGAGGGTGCCACTTTCCCTCTGTTGTTTATTTCTGTCCTTCTGACTTTGTCCCAAGATTAGATGATGATTGCAGTGTCGGCATGTGCTTCTCTTTACTCAAACAAACAAACAAACGAACAAACAAACAAACACCCCCCCGGGGCAGTGCCACTGACTGTAGTGTCTTTAGGCCATTCCCAAAGGGGGGGGGGGGGAATTTCTCGTTCAAGCATAGTAGAATTGTAAATGGGCTGATTCATGTCACGCTCATAACTGTGCCTGATCTACAACAGGGAACTGCTGCTTTTTCTTTCCTGATCCTTACTTTTGTCATTTTCCTCTACTTCTGTTGTATGTTTGTCACTTTCTTTTGACCTGCTATTTCCGGGGTGCCTTGATAGTCGAAGCAGACCTTGTGCTGTTGAAGCTAGAGAGGTGAGCAGTCTAAGTCTGATTCCCTTTAAAGACTTCTCTGTTGACGCCCACCCCTTGGCGCTCATATGACCTTATGCAGTTGCGAGCACCGTAAAACCCTCTACTATAAACCCCCCCCCCAAAAAAACAAACAAACATGCAAACAAACAAACAAACAAACAGACCAAATGTTAAGGTAGTTCAGGAGATTTTTTTTCTCGCTGTCTAACTGCATGGCTTGATCCTTTTGGAGGCGGCGGAAGTTAATTCAAAGGTCCACCCCCCTTCAATGACCTGACGATATTGAAAGCAGCACGCCATTTCATTAATGCTATTCCTTAACCCCTTCACTGCCTGGCCCGCCCAAGAACGCATGATCTGTTTAGTGAGATTATGGAGCAAGTGTGGTGTGAAGGGGTTAATATATTCTTTCCTTGAGTGGCCTGGGGGGGGGGGGGGGAGGGGGGAGGGGGGATTGATTACAACAAGGTAATATCCTTCCTGCATACTGAATGTATAACCACTCAAGTGGTCTAATGAAATGTCACCTGTGGACCTTTTTGTTCAGATGTGTGTGACTGTGTTCACATAATTTGGTCCCTTTTAAGGACAAGCGGGGATTTCCAGAAATCTTGACCTGCACCAAAAGTGGGCATTGCCCTACCTATAGCCAAAGATAGTACATAACAAGAAGGGCCACTTCTCTCTTTGAGCCAATTAAAAAAGTGTCCTCAAAATTTGGTGGCGCCCTCTTCACAAAAACACACTCTTTGCGAACAGAGTTACCCTACTTGAGTTTTAAAAAATCAAAGTGAAACTAGCAAGTTTTGGGATAAATTTCGGAAGAATGCTTTTTTAAAATGGTTACGCTGACAAAAAACCTCTTCCGGAGGAAAGGGTGATGGTTTTCTTCGTTTAATTTGACTTTAGAATGAAAGGCGAGAGGTCATTAAAATAAAAAAAACCCTAAAACTCTGCACTGAACGTACCCGAACTGCTGATGAACAGCAGTCGATCTGCGCACGCAAGGAGGTGCTATTCCTATTCTTCTTCTGGAAAAACGAAAGAGAGCTTCAAAACAGACTGCAGCGCCATCTGAAGCAAAGAGCGAACTTCCTGCGGACACTTTTTTGGCTGAGTGGCCCATCTTGTTATTTACTATCTTTGCTATAGCAGAAGTTTGATTTTTTTGGTGTGTATATTAATATTTTGTTTGGTTATAGAGAAAACTCTCCTTGTCTTTTAAAGAAACTGAAAACTTTACCTTCGATTTTGTCGAAACAGGTTTTTTTCGGGATAGCCCCCTTGTGCTTAAAAGCGACCATTTGTTTGTTTGTTTGTTTGTTTGTTTCTTCTTTCTTTCCTTCTTTCCTTCTTTTCTTCTTTCTTCCCCTTTACTTACTCATCATGTTTGCTTTACTACTATATTGGAGATGTCTTTTGTGTATGAGTCTTTGAGGCCCTACTTGCTACACATGACTGTACTGTAAGAGGTAGTGGATGGTTGGCGGGTGCTCTGGTGTGGTTTGCTTCTTATTTCCTATCAAACTTCTATCATCCTTATCTCCCCCTTCTTCTTTTTTATGTTTACTCTCTTGTGCCGTAAAACGTTTACTAAAACTAAGACTTAACCTCCACATCAACAATATCATGAATTCTTTCTTCTTACCCATCTGTTTTGCTGTTTCCCTGTTGCAGAAATTTTGTGAATGGCCTGTTGATATTCACCCAGCTTGGCTTCTGCTGTGTCTACATCGTCTTCATCGCCACAAACGTCTCGCAGGTGAGTGGTACCCTCCAGGTGCTGGGTGTGAACAGTGCGTGTCTCAAGTCTGTGTTTGGAATATAAAAAGAAAAACAAAATGTGTCGAGAGTTTATTGTTTTTGTTTGGATGGTTTGTGAGCTCCCCCCCAAAAAAACAACAACAACCCAACCCCCACTCACATATACAACAACAAGAAAACATCACCCCCCCCAAAAAAAAACAACCCCCAACCCAAACAAACAACAA